TAGGCGTCAGATTATCTATGATGCACCTAAAATTTTAAGTTTAGAGATATCCGTGATTCTCACGCTTGTAATATTCAACAATTTTTTGTATTAAGTGTCTGGATTCTCGTTGCATTACTACTCTTGCAACCGGCATGATACACCATTTCTTCAAAATTTTACTTAAAATCGTTAATCATCAACCCTAATTCTGATACTAATTTGTTTAAAGAATAGAGGACTCAGTGATTTAAGACTCAATATACATGTCTGGATCTCATACCCACCTAAAAGTTCGAAGTTATAGGTGGTGATTCTATCAATAGTATATTAGGATGTTTTAACTTATTTTTTTACCCAATGTAAAATTCTCATATATACAATATCCAATATCTTTGTTATCTTGAATTCAAGTAATACTCATTATTTATAAGTTGTCCTCTCATACGTATGTGACGGATGATTTATTATTAATTAAAAAATAATGATATACAATTCAAATAAAATTTAAAAAGTTACAACTCAAGTGTATATATTCTCCTGAATAAATAGGTCTCAACAATTTTTTTAATAGATCCTACTCATCTAAGTGATGATATAAATTTGAGTTATAATTTTTGAATTTTTTTTTAAATTGTATAGCATTTTTCTTAATTAAAATATAGAAAAAGTAAACAATTTTGCATAGGATTGCAATATTTTGCATTGGACTAAGAAAAGGATTGCAATATTTGGAGAAGAGAATCGCTTGGTAGCTTACTGTTCCAATTTTTCATAAACTCTCAACTAAACTCAAATGTTAAAAATTGTTGAACCACCGAGTGGTGTGATCCAGTGAGATATCAGTCAAATTTCTTAGAAGTTTGAGTCTTGAAATCTATATTAGAATTCGGTGGTTGACCGCTATGCTAGCCTAACTGAGTTCATTCCCGAGAGAAGTAACGGGTGCGATCAAGAGTCACATGATCCTACTGATAATGATCTATTGAGGTAGTTTCTGCCGCTTTTTTTTGCCCCCACGCCTTTTTTCAATAACAAAAAAAAAAAAGAGAAAATTGTTAATAGTCAGAATAAATAAGTGTCATAAATACATAGGTTTTTATTCTCACAAATTTCACGAACTGTTGGAATTTTTTTCTAAATTTTGGTATAAGTAACTACTTGTATCATCCAAATAATTCGAAAATGCCGCATCATTAGATAAAATTGTTACGCTATACACATGAAAGCAAAATAAAATAATATTATTGTTGAAAATAATGAACGACTTGTATTTATTAGGCTCAAAAAATCAATAGTCAATAGATGAAGTGAAGCGAGATAAAACTGAAAGCGGAACAAAACGGAACGACCTTGATTGGGGTATGCCCCTTTCACCAAGGTTAGATTAATGTGATTAGCCAAGATTGAAGGTCTCAACTGATTCCTTATTTGATTCCTCTTTCTTCGTTTCACAGCAGTAACCTTCCTAGTGTTACTGAACAACTAATCAGGAAAGCTAGGAGAGAGGAATCAGTTCATAGTGCTGCGGGTGAAGGCAAGCAAAGAACAAGGGTTATTTTGGTAAACTCATCTAAAGATTCCTTTAAGGCATGGAGCCCATTTTTGCTTCTTTTTGAAGCATGATGAGGAGCAGAATTAGGTTTTCTTTTGGGTGGGGGATAGAATAGAATATTTGTAGTTGATCTCTTTTGTGTCTTATCTTTTGTGATCTTTGCTTTGTTTATGCCGGCCTTGTTCCATTTCCTTTTCGGCTCCACTAGTTTCTCAAGTGCCCAATGGATTCGTTAAAAGTTCTTTTGATTCAAACTTGAACTTGATAAGCGATGCATTGTTTACTCGAGTTTAGTTTGAACTCAACTCAATCAGCTAGTTACTTCTGTTAACAGTGTACACTCCACTGATGGTGCAGGATAGTAACGCAGCCAGTCCAGAACTCAAAGGCCACTTCAGCAATGTTTGGCTAACAGACTTGTAACTAATTAGAGAATCAGTTAGTTAGTTAGTTAGTTAGATCTCTGTATAGATCTTCTATAAATACTTTGATGTAATCTCACTTGAATGATCAATGAGAAACAATTCACGTGTTCTCTTCTTCTTCTATATTCTTCATCTTTCTGTCATGGTATCAGAGCTTGATACGTGAAGCTATTCAGTTCATCAATGGCGGCTGCAACTTTCACTACATATAATTCATCTTCTACATCTTTTACCTCATCTTGTCCAGTTAATTCTTCTTCGTCTTCTTCTTCGAGCCTTTCTCATTCTCCAATTTCCTTGTTATCAAACATTTGCAATCTAATCTCTATTCGATTAGATGCAACAAACTTCTTGATATCACCGCAATCTTGCGTGCACACAATCTGCTTCGATATGTGGATCGATTGACTGAATGTCCTACACAGTTCTTGAGTGATGAAAGTGGACAGATTACTACTCAAATTAATCCAGATTTTCAGATCTAGATAACTCAAGAGCAAGCTCTCATAACTCTGATAAATGCAACTTTGTGTCCTATTGCTTTATCATATGTTGTTGGTTCCTGTGCGGAGAAAGTTCCGCACAAGGAGTCACCACCCCATTCGGACGGAGAGGAAGGTGAGAAAGCCTTGAGTAACCTGCAAGGTAAGAAAACACTTTGGTGAACCAATGACCGGAGGCATCCAAAGAGACTTCAACGCTTAAGTCAGATCGCAAGTCGAAGAAGAGTGTAGAGTCAATAAGCTAGGATTAAATGTACTTACTTGGTATCCAAAGGCCTTTATGTATAGTAATAGGAATTTGTGTCTCAAAGGAAGTTGAGCTCTAGGTGATGATAGGATGGACCTCATCACCAGCTCCTAGATATTTGAGGTAAAGTTAGACCAGGACTCTTGCTCCTAGATCCTTATGATTAGCTCATGTTTGTTCGAAGTAGTATTATACTAAGACTCTAGGTCCTCGGTTGATTCATATTTGAGTATGACTCGTCTAATGGAGGTGGGCAAAACAAAGGATGATAGCGAAGTACCTCCTGGGGCCGTGGTTAGGTGTCTATTAATCGACACTTGCCTACCTTGTTNACTTGAACTTGATAAGCGATGCATTGTTTACTCGAGTTTAGTTTGAACTCAACTCAATCAGCTAGTTACTTCTGTTAACAGTGTACACTCCACTGATGGTGCAGGATAGTAACGCNATTTGAACTTGATAAGCGATGCATTGTTTACTCGAGTTTAGTTTGAACTCAACTCAATGAGCTAGTTACTTCTGTTAACAGTGTACACTCCACTGATGGTGCAGGATAGTAACGCAGCCAGTCCAGAACTCAAAGGCCACTTCAGCAATGTTTGGCTAACAGACTTGTAACTAATTAGAGAATCAGTTAGTTAGTTAGTTAGNCATTGTGCACTTCAATCAGAACACGATCACATCCAATTACTTTGGAAGAATTACATTTTCTGTTACAAATTGAAGAAGCAGCAATTGAAACTCGAGAAAAGTAATTAGACACAAAATCATCTTCCAACTGTTATGGCAGCCTTTACGCAAGGATACAATCAGTTTTCAAATGGAAGAGAAAGAGGTAATAATAGAGGTCGAGGAAGAAACAATGGAAAATGAAGAACAAATTATTCTGGAAGAGGAAACTTTAGTCCTTCACCATATGGTTATCATAATTCTGGAGCACCACATGGTTATTAGAATCCTGGATCACGATTTTCTTCTACAAGTTTTTCACAAGGAAATTTTTAGAAATCACAAAATTAGAATTTTCAAACTCAGCAAGGGAAAGTTACACGCCAAATTTGTGGAAAGCCCAATCATAGTGCATTGGACTGTTATCATAGGATGTACTTCTCCTATCAAGGCAGAAATCCATCAGCTCATCTCTCAGCGTTAACTACAAACTACAACACTCAACAGCAATCATCTGACGTTTGGCTCACTGATAAAGGAGTCAATTCTCATATCACCCCTAATTTGGGAAACCTTTCTCTGTCAAATGAATATTTTGGACCAGAGACTATGGCTATTGGCAATGGTCAAGGACTAAACATCTCAAACACAGGTCAAGGTGTTCTTTTTACAGGTTTCAATTCCTTCATGTTAAATAATATTCTCCATGTCCCAACTATTACATCAAATCTCCTCTCAGTTCATCAGTTATGTCTGATAATAATTGTAAAATTATTTTTGATTCATTTGGCTTCCAAATCTAGGACAAGGTTTCTAGGAAATTCGCTACCAAGACACGACTGAGAATGGCCTTTATCTAGTCAAAACCATCAATTCTTCAGCTTCTACTCAACTTGGTTCTACTGTGAATGCAAATCTTGGCAATAATGTCTCTCAACAAACTTGGCATGATAGATTGGGCCATTGTGGTTCAACAGGTCTTATTTACTTCAAATCTTAAAAGATCACACTATGTTCCATGTGTTTGTCAACACTGTCTCCTTTATTGATGAAAAGAGTATATTTACATGGATTTTTCCTCTTAGTCTAAAGTCTAGACTCTAAAGTATGTATGGTCTTTACTAAATTCAGAAGCTATGCTGAAAATGTTCTGAGTTCTAGAATTAAACAGCTTCACACTGATGGTGGTGGAGGATATTGTAATTTTACCATGCAACAGTTTTTTGAAAAACATGGTATCCAACATTTAAAATCATGCCCCTATACTCCACAACAAAATGACATTGTAGAAAGAATGTACATACGCATCACTGAAACTGCACTTCCCTTCCTTTCTAAAGCAACCTTACCCCTTAAATTTTGGTACCATGCCTTTGCTACAGCTACCTTTCTTATTAATACGTTACCTAGTCCAAATACAAGAAACCAATCCCCTTATCAACTTCTCTTTGGTACCAATCCAGATTACAGTCACCTCAAAGTGTTTGGATGTGCTTGTTTTCCATATCTCAGACCATATACTCACCACAAATTACAACCAAAAACCAAATGTTGTGTTCTTCTAGGCTATGTTGTGAACTATAAAGGGTATCTTTGTTTTGATCCCTCTATTGATCATGTCTATGTCTCTAGGCATGTCATTTTTTATGAGGACAGGTTTCCATTTACTGAACTAACCCATTCTCAGACTCTTAGCACTTCCTCATCTAGAAAACCATCCATTTTGGGTCATGTACAAACTACTACTTCAACTAATTCCTATCTTGCATCTCCTCTTCTTTCATCCTCTGAACCTTGTTCTTCTCAGTCACACTTGTCAAATCATCAGAATTCTCTAAACACTCCATAACTACTAACATCCCAGGTCCTCACCATCATAACCTAATCTTCACCCCATGCAAACCATATCTAAACCTAGAATTTATAAACCCAAAACCTTCACAACCACAACCAACTCAGCACTCAAAGGCCACTTCAGTAATACTTGGCTAACAGACTTGTAATAGAATTCATAACTTACAGTTGTCATTAAACTAATTAGAGAATCAGTTAGTTAATTAATTAGATCTCTGTATAGCTCCTCTATAAATGCCTTGATGTAATATCTCATTGAATGGTCAATGAGAAACAGTTCACGTGTTCTCTTCTTCTATATTCTTCATCTTTCTGTCAATCAAAAAAAAAACTGAATAAGCTAGTTAGCATCAAATAATTATCAGAGTCAGCTCAATCATAGAGCCATTGAAGCCGCCATTTTAGACACCCTCAAATAATTAGGGCCCCATTTTATAGAGGTACAGTTAAGTCTAATGTTTAGATAAAATTTTTAGATATATATTTAATGAAGTTCAACTTTATTTTAGTACATCAAAAAAATAAGATTTAGAGTTTTTAAAATTTATTTGAGTTTGTTGAGCATTTATTATGATGCACAAAATAGTCTTATGCAAGAGCAACAGTTGAATGTGTGATAAAGTGTAATTAATAAACAATTAATAATGTAATCAATAGCAATAATGTAAATATCGGGTCAGCACACAGATATATAGTGGTTTGATCCGGATGACCTACTCCACTCCGGGAAAGGGCAACGGTGATTGGGGGACCTTTATTGATAAAGTATGATAATCGAGAGAGAGAACAATGGTTAACTCCGAGAGGAATACAATAGCTAGGAGCGAGAGAGAAAGAGAAGCTATGTGTGTGGGTAGACAGATGTAGAAATGCTCTTCTCAATGGAAAAAACCTAAAATTTATAGGCACAAAGTCTTAGTTGAGGCAGTGATTTAAGCGCAAAGATGTTAATTCTCTGAATTGCTACAAAAGTTAAGTGTCATAAAAGATTGTCTTGATTTTCGAGAGTGAGTATCCCGATAATTGCTTTCCACGTGGTTTAATTTTCTTGGATTCCTTGAATCTTGGACTGAGTTTGACCTATCTTTTAGTTGACTTGGGCTTACATGATTTATTGGGTCTGGCCCAGTTGAATTTGAGATTGTCAATTTATGTTGTTAACAACGACATAAAATACCATTTGAGTCTATGATATTTAGCTTAAGTTTTATTAATTATAATTTTATTTATTTTTTTTATTTATTTTCATTAATTAGTTTAACATTAAATTTAATAAAATTTTATCTTACCATTATATTAGGTATCACGCTTTATTCAAATTAATTATACCATCTATTGAAAAAACATATTAACAAAACATAAATACCGAAATCTAATAAATATTTTCATTTCTCAAATGACAATAATATAAATAATATTTTGTAATAATTTAAATTTTATTGTAAAATTAATAAGACCCCATTTAAAATTTCATTTTTGGCCCTATTTTGTGTCGAGCAGCCTAAAAAAGCCAAACTAGTCTAACTCAAGTGAAAAGTCAAACTATTCATCAACATAAAATTTAAATTTTACATAAGTAACTGTTTTTTTTTAATCTGTAACAGATCAGATTTATATTCATAAGTAACCAAAGATACATGTGTTGAAGAATCATATGTTGTACACAATTGTTGTCATATACATGATTTTATGAATTCAAAATGTAAAAGTAAATCCAGAAAATCGATTACAGTCCAAGCTAATCGTCGGCTACAAGTAACGATGGATGCTGAACTGAAACCGAAAAGGTGAAATTGTTGCAGGCAAGAATGGGGGGCTGCTCGGAGGGGCATTACCCTCTTATTTCTTTATTTACAAACCCCCAAATATATGTATGCACTTTTGCAAATTGTTGATGAATCAGCTTGGCATTGGCTTGTTCTCCAAGAATGATCTGAAAAGAATATAAGCTAGTCGAGGGCGATACAGTGGAACCTCGTGTCCTGCTCCAGTTACTATTACAAGGGTTAATCCTTCGTATACTTGGCTCCAACCGCCAACCTATATTATGAAAGAAGAAGAAGAAAAATAGGCGACAAAAATGAGCATATATTTTCGCCATATCAGTAAAAACCATAACCATGTGTTAATAGTTCTTGTTTTGAGTCTTTTGACACCTTCACCAGATTACCACTATGAAATTATACGAGTAGACAACTAATTACAACTTTATTAATCCGTTTTTACTAACACTATTCGTATTTGAAGATATTCTGGTATGAGATACTGATAACAATGTTGTGATCGTGCAGTAATTATGGTGAATAATAAGGAATCAAACAATTAAAAAAGCAAGAGAAAATAACACACAGAGATTTACATGGTTCGGCAATGTGCCTACATCCACGAGAGCGAGCGGCTGTTCTTTTTCATTATTAAAAGTAGGGTTACATCTTAAGTATTTATATAACCCTAATACGGACATATTTATAAAAATACCCCTGTACCGTACCGCGGGGGCATTGCCCCCGCACCCCCAACTAATCAACGTCCCCTTTATACAAATCCCACTCCGGCATCTACCTCCTTGTCATTGTGCACACAGTAATATATGAATCACACATACTCTAACAAACAAAAAGGGAAAAGAGGTAGCAAGAACTATCAACAAAATAACCGATATATACTTGAAGAAGAGGGCCAAGATCCCCCACTAACTGGGTAGGGAAAATGTGATAATAAGGATTGCCATAAACACTATGGAGAAATAGTAAAGATTATTGCTCTTCCTTGAAACTAACTAACCTTTTCATTGTCATACCATGGGTACCAGTTGGTAATAGTTGGAAGCTTCAAAGCATCAATGGAATAACGAGTTGCAGTCAAGGGAACCACCGCATCAGTATCTCCACTGGACAGAAAATTAATCACAAGGTATATGATCAGCCAGATGCACCAAAAAAACTAGAGAGTGAGAACCATTATTGTGGCTCAAATCTTCCTCAGCTTCTCAAGTTGTTACGTTGTGTAGTCATACTTTGGATGGGGAACTCAAACATCTCATAAAAAATGGTTTTCATCGCAATAGCAGTCATGACACATAAGTTGGTTATGTAGCATCTTAAAATCAACAACGCCAAATTTTTGTTCTTAACTACTTTATAACAAACATAGTAGAAGTCTTGAGCAACAAAAACACGCCACTATTTATGCTCCAATAGACAGACTTAATTCGAATGCTACTGGAAATACAGTGATTTCAGTTCAAGTCGAGTCCAAGTTCCACCGACCATGCCATAGTCTGTAATAGTTGGTGGTGACAGGGTAAGGAATCAAGATAATATGATAGGTGTCAACTTCTCATCTAAATTTTCATGCCTGTAAATTGACCAAAACCAGGATGATATCCTGATAGTCTACAGAGTAATTAGGATTACACATCCTTATGGACACTGCACTTAAATCATAAACCAGAGGTATCAGGTGGCATTCCCATGTCATGGATGACAAAATTGGCCCGCCATTCTATTTTTCAATAACATTATGCCACTACAGAGCTGATTCTGCTCATTTCAAAGTACACAGAAGCCTTGAAAAACACCCAAAAACGAGATCATAAGCTGCTGGTATGTTCATATTAAATATTTTCTGTCTCGACCAGATTTCGAAAAAGTTTTTCCAACATGGGGAGCATTCCCAGAGAACTGATTCTACACAAACATCTCCCAAGTCAAGGCATAGTTCAGGTGATCATTTTGGGCATTTTACTCTTCTCTCTAAAGCCCACGCCATGTTAGACCTCTTTTAGGTTACTTGTTCTTTGTTTTTGTAGTTTAAACTTTGTTTCTTTTAATCTACATATATACAGGAGTTAATCTTTTAGTTTTTTTAGAAGTGTTTCTTCCTTATTACCATTATTACATTCGATTATGTTTATGACTTAGACCATATCAGTTTGGCATGTAGGTATACAATCTTTACAAAATTTTATTTGTCACAACATGTCAACCTCTTTCTTCCATCAACTGCACCACCCTTAAAATCCCTAAAAGATGACAACCACCTTTTAGACCGATTAGTCAATTGGTAAACGAAAAACTAAAGCAACGAAAAATACAACTGGTTCTTCCCACGAGACAAACCAATGAATCTCTTTAAGATAAACCATATATTTAAAAGAAATTATAAGAAATTGATAAAGAAGCAAAAGTGGACTATTGGAGACTGGGAAGTAATATATCTGCCACTGGCAGCTTATACTATTAAGTTTACAGAGAAACTTAATACGATATGAGAGAGGTAAAGAGAGGTTTTGACTTACCCTACCTCTCACTATTAATCTTGTATTTATAGTTACTAAACAACGAAACAAAATACGAGTATACCCTTAGTGTGGTATACATATTACAATAAACATAAACCCTAATTATATTATAATAGCTTTCTCAACACTCCCTCTCAAGCTGGACTATAGATATCATATAATCCAAACTTAGAATAAATATCCGCAAGACGAGAACGATTCAATGCTTTGGTAAACATGTCTGCAAGTTGATCTTCAGATCTCAGAAACAGAGTTGCAATGTCTCCATGCGACAACCATATTATGTTTTTACTTCTTAACAAAAGTTCTCAAATATAGAGCATAATTCAGAACAGACTTTCATAAGAAAATAACCAAGTCACACGAGAATAATCATCCACAAATGACATAAAATAAGAAAATTTATTAGATAAAATATTTTTTATTGGACCCTATACATCTGAATGAACCAAAACAAATAGACTCGATACACGGTTATTAACTCTTGATTGAAAGAAAACACAGTGATGCTTACTAAGTTAACAAGCCTCACAAGACACAGATGTGGCAGCAATTTTGAATCCAGAGCTGAAGGACATATCTGAGTTCGACCCACTAAATTTGAAGCAAAGTACGGTTAGTAATGAAAGGGCAGCAATCCTTGCCATCTTGATGGTGGCCTTTGTTGCCTGGGACCTGATGAGTAATGAGACTTTTGAAATAGCATTTACACAATTAAATTGACAAGCGTAAATAAAAACTCACAGCGGCAGTGAAAACTCCGGTAATCACTGATCTTTAATTCTGTTAAACATGACTAAAACTAGGGACTTAGCACTTCAGATTCTGGAACAAAGGATGACCAAACTGACAGTGTAACTGAAAGGAAGATGACGAGGTCTGAAATACCCGAGGGGATGTATCACGGTCAAGATAATAGAGATCACCAACTTCATGCCCCGTATCAATCTTCCTCTTCATCTGGAGATCCTAAAATACACAGTAGGAAGGGAAAAAAGTTATAGAATAATTAAGAGAAGGAGTAATTTTATTAATAGAAAGTAAACTAAAGAGGCACTGAGGAATAAATAACACTGATGATAAGGGCATATCAGTACTCAATTGAGTAGTCCTCAAACCTGAAACTTTAGAGGAAGTGTCATTAACAAGAGTAACACTATGTCGGGAATTAACAGACTAGTAAGTAGAAAAGGCACCAAACGAACCGATTATGTGGTCAAAGGCGCCAGAATCTATGATCCAGGGACTACGAGTGGAGGACAATAAACAAGTGGAAGCAGTACCTGACTAGACAAACGTGGCAATGGAGGACGATAGAACAACCTGTTGTTGGGACAGGAGCTAAGCATACTCCTCGCAGTTAAGTGTAGCAAACCTAGAGTCAGGTGGAGCTGGATGTGATTGGGATGAATTATCATTCTGATAAGAGGTCTGATTAGCAACACCTGAAGACTTGCCATGTAAATCCCAACAATAATCAATGGTATGTCATCCACGACCACAATGAGTGCACCCAAGTGAACCAGATCGACCACCAAGACCTCTAATACGACCTCCCCATCCTCCACAACCACCTCATGAACTATCATTATAGCTAGTAGGAACAACAAGTGTTTGAGCAATCATGAGGTAAACTACGGTCAACACTAGAAGTCCCAGTAAACAATGTAACACGTTGTAAACGAGAGAAAACCTCAAGCAGAGATTGGAGATTAGAACTACCCAAAATCTGAGAATGACCAACCTCATATTCAAGTTCCAAACCCATCATGAAATGAACAACATTCATATCTTCATGTTGCTTCTGCTACACTGCAACATCAGTGGGGAACAGGGGATAGAGTTTCAATTCCTCACAAACTCTCGTGACATGGGAATAATAATCTGCAAGATTTAAATTGTCTTGGTCTAAACAAAAGTACTGTTGATACATCTCATATGCACGAGTAAAATTACCTGTGCCCGAATACATAATGGCCAAGTAGTCCCAAATTTCTTTAGATGTGTCAAGATAAAGTAAAGTGGAGCTCATATTAGAATTAATACTATTCAATAATAAAGATATAATCTGAGCATCTGCATGTTTCCACTGATCATACCCAAGAGTATCTTCCTTGGGTTTAGGGTCCACTAAATATTTCTTGAGGCCCTTACCTTTCAAAAATAGTTGGACTGATTGTGACCATAAAACATAATTAGTCTCATTAAGCTTGATTGACGTCATAGGACCATTAAATAGAATAGTGGAAGACAAACCAGGTGGCACAGGAGGAGAAGTAACAACAGATATGTCATCATTCTTGGATTCCATAGCCATAGGGGGGCTGAACAGTGCAAAAAAAAGGCTAAATCAGGCAAAGCAGTGCTAGATCGCTGAACTGGCCAACAAGAACTCGCTGGACTGCTAAACCGAACAAGAGAGGTTCGCTGGACTGCTGAACCAAATAGCAAAAAATTAACTAGACCACTGAACCGGAGGAAAAGCTTCACTGGACTGCTGAACCGAACAGGCGAGGTTCACTGGACCACTGAACCGGAGGGAAAAACTGATAGAACCAGTCTGAACCAATGCAAGAATGACTGAACTGGGATTAAATCAGACTTGGACCAATCTGGTCTGAAGGCCGTTGGATCTGGGCTGGATACGGATCTGGATTGGGCTTGAGGCTAGTTGAAGCCCGTTGACTTGGACCCGTTACCTAAACCCGCAACCGACCCGTGTGGGTCGTCTTCTTCAGTAACTAGGGTTTCAACCAAACCTAACTCCTATTCTTCAATGTCAACAGCGCTCGCTCCAGTCGATGTTACCAAGGAACCCCAATGGCCACACTACCATAGAAACCACCGGAAACCACACCAGTCGATGGCACCTCACACCCAACCAGTGGTTACACTACAACAGCAACGAGGAATGTCGACAGCAACACCACACCACCACTACCATAAACAACACCATTCAGTAGAGAACCACCGAAACCACCATCGATTTCACTCCGAAGCTACACTATTGGGAATGCACAGATTCAGTGCAAACCCATTCAACACCGATGGACGCAGTGAAGACACGAAACAGAGAAAAAGGAAAGAAGGCAAGAAAAGAAAAAGAAAAAGGGAAAGGGAAAGGGAAAGGGAAAAGGAAAGAGAAAAAAAGATTAATAGGAATTTAGACTTGACTTTGCTATGATATCATGTCAAGTTTAAAGAGAAGTTTAACACAGTATGAGAGAGGCAAAGAGAGGTTTTGGCTTATCCTACCTNAAAGAGAAGTTTAACACAGTATGAGAGAGGCAAAGAGAGGTTTTGGCTTATCCTACCTCTCACTATTAATCTTGTATTTATAATTACTGAACAACGAAACAAAATATGAATATGCCCTTAGTGTGGTATCCATATTACAATAAACATGATCCCTAATTAACTTAAACTCTAATTATATTATAGTAGCTTTCTCAACAATATAAAATAACTCCCTCATAAAATGAATGTGAAAAAGAGGCTCATGAAGTAAATGGAATGAAAAGGCCCCAACAATAAAAAGCAGTCCTCTGAATATTCATGTACCCATACAAGGACTTGACAAGTTAAGATGGCCAATCCACCCACATACTCATTTTATTTGAATCGCCAAAGACATAACACATGTATATAATACACATACACCAAAAAAACTTATCTATGATTTTCTTTTGGGGGAATTATGGATGGTGGGGATGCTTGACCCCTGCCAGCAGAACCCATAAACCAACAGTTTCTGAACTCTGACCTACCCTCAAAATTAAAAAAAAATAAAAAATAAAAAATTATACATGTGTATAGATGTATATGTTTTAGACATGACTCGCATATAATGCATTGTGCCCACCATATCAGTCTCATACTTGAGTAATATTTTTTGATACTACGAGTTGCGATTAGTTTATGTAGATGTTTGATCATTTCTACTGTCTTAGGTCTTTCTTCAGTTGGCCTAAATTTTTTATATTTAAGATTTGTTCGTTTTAAGTTCTTAATTTGACAAGTGATATCTCTTGCAAGTGTCTTTTATTTTCATGCGAATGACCATCTCTATTTTTCTGTGACTATAAAATGTTATGTTTCAGGTTTTTCTAGAGAGTTTTAATAGTATACTATGCTTAATTCTTAGATTTTATTGTCCATAACTTTGCTATTTTAATATGCAATAATAATACAAGTAATATATTTCTTCAAATTAAAAGGTTATGAAAATCGTTGTGTAACCGAATTGTTACAATTAGTCTTTTTCTTAAAGGGTTGCACTTAAGACTTTTTTTCTTTGATTGTGTATTTTCAGTTTTTGGTCTTTTGTGTCTAATAATTTTTTTACTATCGAATAAACCATAGTTTAATGTATATATATTACTTTATTTTTATCTATAGGGAAAAAATTAACTGTGCCCACCCAGGAGTAAATTTCTCACTCCACCCCTGTTTCTGAACCATCCTAACACAAACAATCAGAAGTTTATGGCCAACGTATAAACATTCTAATAACTAGAAGTTGCTGTCTGCAAAGAACTGAGTGTGCAGGAAAAAAAATTACAAATATCAGGAAAAGAGAAAGATGGGACTGCACCTGAATACCCATATCCGGAGACCAGCAGATATTAGTTCTCGGTAGATAGGAAGCATGGATAATGGAGAGTCTGCCCAGTGGTTACCAACAATGTCACTGCAAAGCAAATAATTCAATCAACATGCTATTATTAAGCACATAAGAAAAAGCATGGAAACTTCCAATCGTGAAAAATACCTGCATGTTTTCCATGGATAAGGAATCCCAGTTATATTGGCGTGAAATGCCTTCTGAACTTCTGGAAGATTGAAGTATACTTGTGAATATCTTTCAGAGCAGGGATCATATGCTCTGGACATCCATGGCTAAATTCAAAAGCAAAAGTTGTGAGTTCAACTAAAACAAAACCATTTAACAACATTCAAGGAACAGTCAAACAATGTTTAAACTACTGAAAGGAGCAACAATTGAACCCCTGGAACGTGTGATGCAAAATTTTAAAGCCTATTGACAGTGACACATTCCAACTTTTGGAATATTTTGTGCTTAACTTTGACCTTCATTTTCAGTCCGGAAACTATCATGAAAGAGTTGGAAGGTAGCTTTAGTGATCACCGCCTAAGCGATAGTAAGAAATAATGGATTACCACTACAAAATACCATATATTCCAAATTTTTTGGAATTTTTGCTTGTGGTGAAGATAAATTGACCAAATTGGTAGACGTGATTTATATAGAATTCATGTACCTAACAAAAGAAATACAAAAGCAGGGAGTTAAGAAACTAGTATTAGCAATGACCAACGACCACAAACCTAGACAGATACTTGTATTCATTTTTCTCGGCAGATAAAAATTTGTTGTTACTTGTAAGAGGCTTAATTCAGGTATCGTACCATTCAAACAGCTCCACACGAAACAAATTTATGGACTGGACAAATGATTTGTCTTTCCCACTTCTCTTCTTACTATTACTACTAGCCAAATTAAGAGAACAACCTTTGCCAAAGGAGTATGAAGTATGCAACTTCTGGTTGAACCTGGAGTCAAATTGAGTGGTGCCTCCCAATNTACTATTACTACTAGCCAAATTAAGAGAACAACCTTTGCCAAAGGAGTATGAAGTATGCAACTTCTGGTTGAACCTGGAGTCAAATTGAGTGGTGCCTCCCAATGTGCAGGAACATTATAAGTGGTCAATCGGATCACATGCTAGAAGAATGCAGTGGGTATCAGGTCAGACATAGATCCAGTTCACCATTTGTGAAATTGTAGCATGCAAAAAAGCATTTCGGACCTTTGGCACACTTGAAACGTTGNATGTGCAGGAACATTATAAGTGGTCAATCGGATCACATGCTAGAAGAATGCAGTGGGGATCAGGTCAGACATAGATCCAGTTCACCATTTGTGAAATTGTAGCATGCAAAAAAGCATTTCGGACCTTTGGCACACTTAAAACGTTGACANGTCAAATTGAGTGGTGCCTCCCAATGTGCAGGAACATTATAAGTGGTCAATCGGATCACATGCTAGAAGAATGCAGTGGGTATCAGGTCAGACATAGATCCAGTTCACCATTTGTGAAATTGTAGCATGCAAAAAAGCATTTCGGACCTTTGGCACACTTGAAACGTTGACAATTCTGTTTCAATCAGCTTAGAACCATGGCATGTAGACACATGAAATGCAGGCTCCAGTCAGAGGTTAATTGTGCACTTCTCCACTCACATTGAGAAATTTCTTTAGCATAAACATGTATTTGTTACATGTTACCAGAAATGTCACCCCTTGTTCCAAATAGCACAATATCCTTCTATCTTTTAGCCTGCATAAGCCAAATCTGGTCTTGTTTGTATTCTCATATTATTTCCAGAGTTTTTTGGCCTAATCATTGTGCTTTTAACTATTTCTGGATATATTTCCTGTTGTTTTGCAAACAAAAAAAATATGTATTGGGAATTCAGCAATTTCAAATAACTGTGCTGGTATTCCGAGATTCTTTCAGATGAAAACCACCATCTAAGAGTGTTATCAATCATAATACAACCACCAAGTCTTTGGGATCTAAGACTACAGTGAGCTTCCATTCAATTAACTTCGTTAGAATTCCCTTTTAACAACTCAATAACTTCGTGAGGTTTAATAAATGCTTACATAGTGACCCCTTAAGTTGTGCTGTAGTGATGAAGCATCATTGCAAGGGCGTGTGTAAATGCTGTACAGATTGATGTTTCCCCCTTCCAACTTTGCAGCAGTGAGAGCCTTAATGCAATCGCTTGACGGATGTGTAGCAGATTCATAGTCGCAGGCTACTTGGAGAAGTTTATAAGTAGAATCTGAAATTAAACCACGAGTCCACCAGTATTCAAAGGTGCCAATATAATCATGGAAATCATCAGTAACAGCATTCCCCACCTAAAAGAACATTTAAAGAAGAAAAAAAAGGGAAAAGGTAGCCATTAGATAAAGGGTATTCACAATTATCAGAAATCCAATGTGCTCCATTGAGACTTCTCATAAGGCTTACCAAGAAACCTTTAAAATTGATAACTGGATTTTTAATTCCCAGGTTTCTTTGGTAAATAATTTGAGACAACTGAGGAACATAATGACCTGGAATAGAGACAAATAGGCTGATTAGCATATCCTTCTGTTGGGCAATTTACAATAAAAACATATATACAAGATGGAATACAACTATCTACCCGCATAGCTTTCTCCAGCAATATAGAAATCTCTATGCTTGTATTGTGGAAACCTTTCGAACCACTTGATAAGAAATGTATATGAATCTTCAGCTACAAATTCAGAACATATGGATCCCCAATACAAGCAAAAGTTAGAATTAACTAAGTCTAAGATAGAACACCATTGTTACTGAAATGTATTTCAAACTGCATATAGCTACAAGATAAGCAAAAACATCAGGTGAGGAAAGATCTGTCACAAAAAAGTTATGGATAACACTATTTTAGTGAAAAGTGGTACCATAATGAAAATGCTTACCATGTGTTTGTAATAATTGATACGATCAAAAGTAGTAATGTAATGTAAAACAAAAAAAATAAAGAAACATGAGGCGTGCACATTTAATTGGACAAAAAAGGAGAAACTGGACATTACCTGTCCTCTGGTCTCCTGCTGTATACAAATCTGATGACGTGTTAGAGTATGAAAAGCCAACACCAGCGGGTGATTCAAGAAAAAGCACATTTGCCACTGCCAACAAATCAACAAACTCAAACACATCATATACATTACAAAAAGAACAATTACGGTCAAATAACCCAAGAAATGACTCATCAATTAGTCACGTACAGTTGTTCCATGAATAAGGATTCAAGAAAAGGGTCTTCCCATCAGAATTAATACGAAAAGGCCCAATCTCTTCAGCAGCACCATAAGCGATAGAAGAACAACCAGGCCCTCCATTGAGCCATAAAACGAGTGGTCTTGACTGAGGACCACGACTAGCCGGTGCCTCAATGAACCAGTAAAACAGTGCCCTTCCTGCTTGCTGATTTACAGTCACATAACCCGAGTACTGGGTGAAACCAACATTGGCTGGTTGTCCAGGTAACTCTTTGATCCTATCTCTCTCTTGAGCTGCACTGGACAAAGAATAGCAAGTACCCAGAAAAAGGAATAACAAGCAAAGTACAAAGAACAATGAATGCTCCATGAACCAATCAAGTCAAAACAAAGAAAACAAACAATTCTCAGAAACACTGATCCCAAAACAATTCTGGGCGTCCAGGGAACTGATCAACTGAGGAATATATGAATAGAAAACTAACAAAAAGGGACAAAACCCAGAAACACCAATCCCAAAGTGTTTCCGGGTTTTCGTGGAAGTTAATCTACGTAACAAAAGCCTAAATAAAAGGATAATGNTTAATGGCTGATGCGCCGAGACGACGCGATCGGTTCTCCCAAGGAACTGTTCCGCCGAGTATTTAATGCTCAATTGGTGTCAGATGCCAACCTGCTGGATTTGGGTACTCGGGGAGTGGCATAAATGCTCGGCGGATGGCCAAGCTTTTACCCCATTTTCCTAGCATTCAATTGGAGGAGACGTGAATAGAAAACACTCATTGCACGAGGAATGGTATGTCAGATGTGAGATGTCTAGATGAGACTGAAGATCTTTGACAATCATTGTTAATTTAGGTATAAATATTCCTCAGAAAAATGGATAAAGGTACGCAAACTCGAACCAGAAAATAGTTCACTAAGCAAAACCCTTCGATCTTATACTGACTTAAGCTTCGGAGGGGATTAGTCGGGCACACGCTTGGCCCCCTTTTTTCTGAACCTACTGTTTCAGGTTCGTTAGCTGGGAGATCGCTGCCTCACACGATTGTAGGAATCNCTTTTTTTTCTGACCCTACTGTTTCAGGTTCGTTAGCTGGGAGATCGCTGCCTCACACGATTGTAGGAATCATCCCGTGCAGTACCTAACTAAAAGAGTTGTAACATATCCAATAGAGTTGTACTACATCCAATAGAGTTGTACCTCATCCAATAAAGTTGGAACTCATACCCAAAAAATTAGAATTTTTACCCAAAAAAGTTGGAAACTACCCAAAAAAATTGGAATCTCATACCAAAAAAGTTAGAACCCTTACCAAAAAAGTTAAAACCCATACCAAAAAAGAGTTATAATTCAATTTAAAAAAAATTAAAACCTCAAACAAAAATTGGAACCTCTACCCAAAACCAACCCCAAAAAGTTATAACTCAATTTAAAAAATTGAAAGGTGAGCCAAAAATATAAACTAATGCATAAATTTTGATACTCTATCCCAAAAAATTAGAACCACCCTAAAAAAATATAATTCAACCCTAAAAAATTAAACATCATACCAAAAGCTTATAACTCAATCCAAAATAGTTGAAATCTAACAAAAACAGTTGTAATCTAGCTAATTTGAGTCACCCCCAAAAAGTTGGAACCCAATCAAAAAAAAGTTATAACTCTGACTCAAATAGTTGGAAGCATTATTTACAATTCTTTTAATTATTTGATTTTATTCANATTTTGATACTTTATCCCAAAAAATTAGAACCACCCTAAAAAAATATAATTTAACCCCAAAAAATTAAACATCATACCAAAAGCTTATAACTCAATCCAAAATAGTTGAAATCTGACAAAAACAGTTGTAATCTAGCTAATTTGAGTCACCCCCAAAAAGTTGGAACCCAGTCAAAAAAAAGTTATAACCCTGACCCAAATAGTTGGAAGCATTATTTACAATTCTTTTAATTATTTGATTTTATTCATTATTTATTTGTTGTTAATAAAAAAAATGGGACTACTTAAAAAATATTGAATATTTTTGAACTACAGTATGATTTTTTTTGATTATTTAAGGGATAAAAGTGTGATAGTTAAGGGATAAAAGTGTGATATTTACCTAGGATCAGTCTCCCATTTCTTGGATCGGTCCTAATTCTTTACATGTAAATTACAATTACACTTCATATATTACAATTTATTATTATTTTTATTTTCTAACCGAATATTGTGGTCCACAAATCACNAAAAAATATTGAATATTTTTGGACTACAGTATGATTTTTTTGATTATTTAAGGGATAAAAGTGTGATAGTTAAGGGATAAAAGTGTGATATTTACCTAGGATCAGTCTCCCATTTCTTGGATCGGTCCTAATTCTTTACATGTAAATTACACTTACACTCCATATATTATAATTTATTATTTTTTTTATTTTCTAACCGAATATTGTGGTCCACAAATCACAAAACTTTATCTTCTCCCTCCACCCACTTTTCCGCCCAAACCATTTTTCACTTCTCTTACCTTCCCTCCATTTCTTTTACCGTACATCCCTTCTCCCTTTCACCATACAAAAGGATTTGTTTGGTTTAGAATTTGGTGTTAATATGATGAATTGAATTTTTANAATTACACTTCATATATTACAATTTATTATTATTTTTATTTTCTAACCGAATATTGTGGTCCACAAATCACAAAACTTTATCTTCTCCCTCCACCCACTTTTCCGCCCAAACCATTTTTCACTTCTCTTACCTTCCCTCCATTTCTTTTACCGTACATCCCTTCTCCCTTTCACCATACAAAAGGATTTGTTTGGTTTAGAATTTGGTGTTAATATGATGAATTGAATTTTTATTTGATGAAATTGAATGTTTATTTGGTATAAATTTGATAAATTGAATATTAATTTGGTATTGATTTGATGAATTAAATGTTTATTGGATGAAATTGTATGTTACTTTGATGTTGATTTGTTAAATTGAATCTTTATTGGATGATTTTTTATGTCAATTTGATAAATTGAGTGTTAATTTAATGAATTTGAATATAAATTAGATGAATTAAATGTTAATTTTGTGTTAATTTGATTAATTGAATATTAATTTGATGTGATTGAATGTTAAGTTAATGAATTAAATGTTTATTAGATGAAATTGAATGTTAATTTGTTATTTATTTGAAAAATTAATTGTTTATTTGATGAAATTACATGTTACTTTGGTGTTAATTTGTTAAATTGAATCTTTATTAGAGTATTTTTGATATTAATTTAAGGAATTGAATGAATTTGAATATAAATTGGATGAGATTAAATGTTATGTTGATGAATTAAATGTTTATTAGTTCAAATCAATATTTAATTTTACCTAATAAACATTTAATTTATTAAACTAATATTAAAATTCAACTAACAAACATTTAATTCATCAACGTTACATTCAATCTCATCCAATTTATATACAAATTAACACAAAATATTATTTGAAGGTGAAGTATAGGGAACAAAATAAAAATATTATTATACTTTAGGGGTGTAAATGTAATTTACTTATGGATGAATTAAGGCCGATCGTTGGAATGGGCGACCAATCCTGGTGTAATATTACACTTTAATATTTGATATTACACTTTCATCTATTAATATTTTGATATTACACTTTTAACTTTTTGATATTATAATTCATCAAATTAACATCCAAAATCATTCAATAAATATTCAATTTATCAAATCTACATCAAAGTAACATGCAATTTCATCAAATTAATACTCAATTCATCAAAGTTACACCAAATTAACATTTAATTTTACCTAATAAACATTTAATTCATTAAATTAACATTAAAATTCAACTAATAAACATTTAATTCATCAACGTAATATTTAATCTCATCCAATTTATATACAAATTCATTCAATTCATAAAATTAACATCGAAAATTCTCCAAAAAAATATTCAATTTAGTAAATCAACACCAACGTAACACGCAATTTCATCCAATAAACATTATATAGCTAACAAATTAATATCCAATTCTTCAAATCAACATTCAATTTCATCTAATAAACATTTAATTCTTCAACTTAACATTCAATCACATCCAATTAATATTCAATTCATAAAATTAACATTCAATTCATCGAATTTATATTCAAATTCATTAAATTAACACTCAATTTATCAAATTAGAATAAAAAATCATCTAATAAAGGTTCAATTTAACAAATCAACATCAAAGTAACATATAATTTCATTCAATAAACATTTGATTCACCAAATCAATACCAAATTAATATTCAATTCAACAAATTAACATTCAATTTCATTGAATAACATTTAATATTCAATTCACCAAATTTATACCAAATAAACATTCAATTCATCATATTAACAGCAAATTAAAATTCAATTCATCCAATTAATATTTAATTCATTAAATTAACATGTAATTCATCAAATAAAAATAAAAAATAATCTAATAAAGATTTAATTCACCAAATCAATGCCAAATTAATATTCAATTTAACAAATTAACATTCAATTTCATTTAATAACATTTAATATTCAATTCATCAAATTTATATCAAATAAACATTCAATTCATCATATTAATACCAAATTAAAATTCAATTCATCCAATTAATATTTAATTCATTAAATTAACATTAAATTCATTAAATTAAAATAAAAAACCATCTAATAAAGATTTAATTCATCAAATCAACACCAAATTAACAAATTAACATTTCATTTCAAATAATAAACATTCAATTCATTAAATTAACATTTAAATTAACTATTTAACATTCAATTCATCAAATTAACACCAAATTAACATGCAATTCTTCAAATCAACACCAAACTAACATTCAATTCATTAAATTCGCATTCAATTCTATCTAACAAACATTTAATTCATCAAATTAACCTAACAATCAATTCCATCCAATAAAATTTTAATTTATCAAATTAACACTAAATTAACATTCAATTCATCCAATATATATTCAAATTCATCCAATTTACATTGAATTCATCAAATTAACATCCAAAATCATCTAATAAAAATTCAATTTATCAAACCAACACCAATGTAATATAAAAATTCATTGAATAAATATGTAATTCGTCAAATTAACACTCAATTCAACAAATTAACATTCCATTTTATATAATAAATATTCAATTCATTAAATTACACTGTAACAAAAACAGTGTTCAGTAATTTTGTGCAGATGGTAACAAATTCAAAATGGAGATGGATTATTTTGAATTAAATTATATGAAACTATATGTTTGAAAAAATGTAATATTACAATATTTTGTGTAAATAGTTTGTTACACTGTTAAATTTTTATTGTTACACTGCTAGA